TTCAGTTTTATGATCTATATGCCCTTTTTTCCATTTGCTAGAAGACGTCGGTTAATAGTCGTTACAGTCGGCTTTCACTTAAAAATGATAAAATTGATCTGGTCTTTAAGGAATTGCTTATTCGAGTAATCTAATTTTACCTTCGTAAATGCATGACGCAAAAGAGGAGTGTTATAAGTTTGACGTGTGTGTGTATGTGTGTGTGGTGAATGGGTGAACCAATAATCATAAAAAAAATAAATTAAAAGTTTAATAAAGCCAATACCTCCTTTTTTGGATCGGTCAAAAAATTAAGGCTATATGATAAGGCTAACACGTATTTAATGTTCACTTTTTATTAGAAGTGTTATATTATTTCGGGGCTTTTTAATTTTTTAACCGACTTCACAAAAGGAGGTAACAAATTCGAGGTGTATATATGTAACATCGTTGGAATGGCGTAATATTCATATATGCTGGTCTGTAATTTAATTAATTTTATTTTTTTGTAAACGAAATACCTAAGTCTTAATTAAGTATTCATATTTAGAAATTAGAGTCGAGCTACTAATATTTCTTAAAGTCTTGTTTCGATCCATATTTGTGAGAGCAATAATGGTTATAAAGCTGATAACATAACAAATATTATTATTTATTTAATTATTTATCGCCCTAGGTCTCTGAAAGCAATATAAAAAGCATACTAATAGTATCTCTATAAAATGGCAGTAAAAATGTTTTAAATGGAAAATTCTGGAATGCAAGGAAATTACAGTGAAGCGGGACTGAAGCTCTCGTAGCAGCCGTGACTCGCTCGGAAATAGGAAAGCTCAGTAATCCATTCCATTTCATCGCGCTCGTGTTTTCGAGCCACGACACAATTTTAAAATCGCTGAAGCGGCAATTAATATGTTATATCCTACACTTTCGTAGTACACATATACTACTAATATATAAAAATAATAATAAATGCGAACTTTTTTGACGATATATTCATGTAGAAAATATTGATGCTTGTTTTTGAATAATTTTTGGAACATATACGTTTAATTCTAAGACTGAATAACATATACAACCTTAATTTTCAAGTACCTACATAAAAAAGGACGTTTTCTGAGTAAAAAAAGGAAAATATTTGATGATTGATTTGTTTATACCTCTAGTTTGCATTGAGAATTATTAATTAACGTTATCTTCTGTTTTGTTTTGTTGATATCGGAAATAATGAATCTCGTGTGCGTACAACGCAAACGAGTCTCATTTATTTGCGAGTTTATCAACATATTTGCGTTTTCAGAGACGATTTAACGTTATAAAAGGATGTATAATTGAGCAGTAATGCGTGTATATTCACCAAATTTCCACCAAAAGTAATATTTTACAATAATAAAGATTTACTCTGTGCAGGAAAGTCCAAATCACTGAAATTCACTATGGGCAATAGTCCGGGACCGTATCACTGCACTTTCACTACACAAGGCACAGCACTGAATTTATTTAAGTGTCCCCACTTGAAGATTCACGTGTGCACGGTAATCTTAATTATACGTAACAAAATAACAAGTGGTATTACATGCCCTCCTTTGTACATAAAATATTAATACATGGGGAAAGTATAATAAGGCACTTTGCTATTCTGCCTATTCACAATATATCTGAAAATGCACAAGAATCACGTAACAAAGATTATAAATACATAAGATTGCATCACGCTAGAATATGTTCTAGAAGTGCAACCAATGAAGACATTTTTATGATCTTCTATTAACATCAAATCAGTATATATCGAGTATCAAAAACTTATTTGAAGGAACTGTTAGAGGATGTCAAAAACCTGTTAGATATTTAAATAATTAATTAGCAATATTTTTATAAAAAATATCCTTTCAAAGGTTTTAATAGATTATGTTCGTCATTTATCGTTATTTACACTTAATAATAAAAAAAAACTAAATATCCTAAAAACATTATAAAATATTTAGTTTTTTTAAAGTAATTTTTAAAGTATAATAAATAAGTAATTTACAAAAATAATAAAAACATAAATAATTATGCCGAGAATTATATATAATTATACAAAATAATAATATACATATGAAATAGATAGTATTAAATAGATGTAAACTGAATAGGCAACAATTTCATAAAGTATGAAAATTCAAATTTTATTTTTTATTTTTGTATTTAATTTTTATACATTATATAATAATAAATAAAAAAAAAATTGTTATTATTTGATTATCTGTACATCAGAGATGCCATGTGCCAAATTTCAATTCTTTACTTGAATTAAAAACAAAGATACAGATTTATGAGACGGTACGCACGATCTTGGTCCATAGTGCGACGCCTCTGATGGAAAGCTAGTGAATAATGAAATAAATATAAGACAACATCACATTAGATTGCTCATATTTTAAGTAGCTGAAGCTTGTATTATGGATATCTGAAACGATAAAGTTTAAAACAAAGAACCACCATATCCAGACCCGAGACAATGTAGAAAGGTTCATTTTCTACATTGACACTTTGAAACCGGTGTGATAGCCACTCAGCAACGGAAGTATACTCTGGTAACTTAATTCTAATGGTGGAGGTGGGTGGCGCAATGAAAAACACTGGTAGAACTCCTCAGTCTTGAATTATTTTCAATTAGTATTACATTAGCACACTCAACCAAAAACTATGATTCTCACTCTATGCTGGTCTCGATCAGAAAGGGAAGATTGACAACCAGCAAAACATGAACACGCGAATTCGAATACGAAAAAGTAATAATTTAAAATATTAACGGCCAGTATTTGACCATAAACCGTCCGAAGAGTAAACCTGCCTATAGTAATGTGCTCGGACGTTACAATACTGTTTCATAGTCATATGAATATTTCGTTAATTGCTTCTCTAAAGATGAAATTCGGGTATCAATCTCTGAAGTCCAGAAGTTTGACTCTCTTTGTATATTGTGACTAAATAAAATTGGCCACAGTTCTAATTTTTCAGATTTCCATAATACAACGACTTCAGTTACTCACTTTTTGTTATAAGGAATGTATGCGAAGTCTATCTAATTATAATTTGATAGACGGTTTGTATGAGTACGTAATGAATTTGAAAATGTTTCTTGGAGGGCAAAACATTTTCTTTTTTTGCCACTGTAAATAATTATTTACCAATATCCCCACTAAATGTACTAAAATACAACACTGATTAGAAAATTCTTCACTATCTTATATTAAAATATCTATCTTTATCTTTTTATTAACCTCTATAATTTTCCCAGTACAGTGTGGAGACGGCCGTTGGCCGGTCCTAAGTCATTATTCAATTAGTGTTTTTTAAAAAAAGGTAAGTAATTATATCAATGCAAAAATAGAAGAAATCTATAAATAATCTCTAGAAAAAATAATATAAATTGAGTTAATTCCATATCAACGACTCTATGTGTTTTGTTTTCACGGATATTCTTTATCATCAAAGTTACCAAATTAATTTAATTTTACGTGAACAGCTTGACTCATAATTACAAATAGGGTAATTATTTTGTATCTAAGACTATTTAGGGATTCGTTTTTTTTTATAAATGTATGGCAATGCCTATTTTCTCTCTACTATAAAAGAATGAGTAGAATTAATTGTTTAATTTAAACTGTAGTCAAGTAGTCTTACGGTAAGTTGCACAAACGTCCATTAAGGTTTAACGATGTCTTCAAGCTCTAATGAATATCAAATTTGTATGAGTAATGTCGCTTTAAATTAATGACAATTTTAATGGAAATTTGTGCATATGGCTGTTTGTTGTGTTATTTTTAGCTAATTTGGGTACGAACGAACATGTAGTCCAATAATATATGTTTCTATTAACATTGCTACTGATACAGTTAAATTTCTCGATGATCCAATACTTTGAAACAAGATTTATATAGAAAAATCATTATACTAATTTAAAAATAAACTCCACTAAAATGATATTAAGCGAAAGCAAATAATATAATCATATAAAATATAGCACAATAAAGATGATAGATATGCGTGCGATAAGATAATTGTAAAATTTTATTGATTAAAATTATTACGTTTGTTATCATAGAGATATTAACGAATTGGTGCTTTAAGCCGCTCGTGTTATTTAAGGGTCCATTATCAAATCATTGGAATATGCTGTTCATTATAAAAGTGTAGTTGGTTAAGGGTCAAATGAAGATGAGATAAATGCTTATACAATATGTAATTACATCATAATCACTCTTTACCCATTTGAGATAGAACATAAATTCAAAAAACTACAGAAAACATCGTAAATAACACATTACCGGTATTTCTAAGAATGTGTTTAAACATATATTTATTTGATAAATGGTTCACGGGTTAGTTATATACTGGTAGAGAATTGTAAAAAATGTCAGGGATAAATAAATATTCTTTAATTGAACGCCAGGTTTTCACTGGCTTTGGATTTTTTTGATTCAAATTAGTAAACATGTCTTAAAAGTCAGTGTCTAGTTCTGATATCAATTTCATAATCCTGCCCTACTGAATCCGATGAATCATGGGATACGTCTTTTTCCTTATTAATGCAAAGAAATTGTCAGTCCTTGCATCAGAAAACATGGCTGATACACTACTGAGAGGAACAGCCCAAACACACTCCTAAAATATTATTATCTGGATAAAACTAAACCACCAAGGCACTTGAACTGAACTTAAAACATATACTTGAGTATTTTTTACATATCATAAAGTACAGTGTAATAAAAGTAAATGAAATATATTATTCCTGTCACTTTTATAAATAGGCTACGTGGACACTTATGGCGCCTCCGACCTAAACAAATTAACCCAAATCAATTTTGTACCACCGATTCCTTTCCTTGATGATTATTCTAAAATAAATGCTTTTTTTTCATAAAATCAAATAGCCATTTCAATTGCACTTATAGAGCATTTATTATGTTTAGATAATCTTTATTTAATATTTTTTCGTAATGATGTAAATCTTTATTTTACAGTAGGCAGCATTCAAGATGGCGCAGGAGAACAGCAATTCGACCATGGAAATGGGAACTAGTGATCAGGTGAGTTTTCCAGAAACGTTATATATGAAGTTGAATTTACATTACAAAACTAGTGTCACGAAATAAAAAAAAAAAGTTCCACGAAATTAATCAGTAGAGATTTTGTGCTTTTCTCAATTTAGAAACCGGCGGATTGACTCCTTTATCATCAAAGCTTTACTATACGCAGATGACATCGCGACACAAGTTTAGCTATTTAAATGAAACTAGTTGCATGCAACTCGTCATATCAAAAATATGCGCATCGTATGAAACTAGTTAAGTGTCGTGAAACTAATGCTTTAATGAAAGTTTTTTTTTTACTACTACTTTCATAATGTAAATTTGGCTTTAGACTTGTATTAAATCATAGGTAAATTAAGTGCCTATCGCATACTTGACGCTTCGATAAGATGCTATCGTGCCCGTTCGACTACTATGAATGCTTATCGCATGCTTTTACCTACGACCGCAGCTCAAGACAACGACTATATCTCTTCAATAAATATTTTTGATCCCCAGGCCATATATTACTGAATTCCCGGCTCACGTGCTTAAGCATTAAAGATGCTTGATGGGAGGGTTCGCATGAGTGCGCGTCCTTTCTTATTATACGTTCACAAGTATTCTTTAATATGTCAAGTGGAACTCTATATTTTCTGAAAAAAAAAAGTGAAATTCGATTCCTTAGATATGTTGCGTAGGGGAGAATTACTTAAATAACAATTTCTACGACATGGAGAAGTACTCAATAACTAGAAACACGGTTAACAAATTCAACCGCTTTTCAAATTAGTTTGGGATAAGGAGCTTCGTTTTTTGTAGTCACGTTATTTATATTAATAGCTCTGCTTCTAAGAAGTTCTCTTTATTTGTCTGACATCTTTTTAGTTTGATAAAAAAGAATCAATAAAAACACGAAACGCAGACATCACGATAAAAGTTACTGGTTATATTGGTGACATATGTCGTGTTGATAACGAATGCATAATTTATCTAAATTTTCCTACCAAATCAATGGGAGATTAAATAGTAATAATTAAGAAATAGTTTTCAGTGCGAGAATAGAACCAGGACGTTTTGAAAAATAAAACTTACGTTATTTTTACTTAGATACTGATTGTGTAGGTCAAACAGTTAATGTTACTATGAAACAATGTATAAAATGTAACAAGAACAAAATAAAATGAGACAATTTTACGCACCTAGATGTATATTGAGCGAAATTATTGTCATTTTAATACCTACTAAATTAATTAAAGGATATGAAAAACAATATATTTTTTTAGACATTATATGTTTCATAGTAATATTGACTGCTTAAGACCTACACTTACACATTCGGTTTCGAAGTGGAAATAATGTATGTTTTATTTCATACAACGACCGGGTTCGATTCCCGAAGTGAGAACAAACTATTTTTTAATGTTTGAATGCAGGTTTTCTTTCTACTTAAATCGATGACTAATTTGAGACTTCAGACCTTTCAGACAAACGAAAGGACCAAAGACAGTCATTTCCGTTTCTTTTAACTAACATATTAAAAAAACTGAAATTTGCAAAGTTCTAAATTTAGATATCAATAAAAATACGAAAAAGTACAAATAGAATATGAGTTTGTTTATTGAGTTTTGAAAGCTAATTTACTTTTATACATGAAAGAAAACCGGAAGGGTTGTCATGGTGAAATCAAGAAAGTACCGTAGCGACATCTAGTTTGATTTCGGGAACCAATTTTTTTTTAAATACTTCCTCATTTCCCTTTATAATTCTCACTGGTCACACTATTTTAACATCAATTCACATTTAGAAATAACAAATCTGACTAGTGATATTTTACTAGAGGTCCGTACCATTTTCATATTGTGATGTAAATATGAAAATGGTACGGACCTTTAATAAAATATCACTAGTCAGATTCGTTATTTCTAAATATGAATTGATGTTGTCACATGTGATTTCACTGTAATAAATTATCATAAACATTGTTGTTTCTATTTTCGTAACACGTGTACTTCAGTAATTTACATAATAGTTATTCACCTACGTAAGGTTGTCAAATATATTCAGTTCAAATGAACAATCAAATGTTTCCGCTTTATTATAACGTTAGGATAAATAAACTCATTAGTTATTTCAATGATCTATTATAGACACCAATTAGTTGCATTGGTAGGTTTTAGAAACTTATAAATTATAGAGTTGTGTTTTTTGATTACGGCTCGGATAGGCGCTACGAAGATGCGATATTAAGAACCTTATTTTTTTAAATCCCCACAAGACTGGTATCATGACAACCAAAATGAAAAATTCAAGCTTCTATTTTATCTTCTATGATGTTGAGCTCTATGGGTTTGATAGTCATCTCTGATACCTACTCAATTATTTCCACCTAAGGAAGCAGGATATGTTCGTTCTTGGTACCTACTCAATTATTTCCACCCAGGGAAGGAGGATATTATACTTATTCCTTTCATTCTCCTCCAACACCACATTTCACACGTTTCCAAACTTAACCTATATCTATTGTCATATTTCACAAACATTTGATCCAATCCTGCAAATGCAAACCTTCACCAGGCTTTTCCCGACCTTTTGGTGATCTTAACTTTTATAAGATATTTTTTGTTATTGAAAGTCTCTTTTTGTCAGTGATATCCTTGATAATTGATAATATCTAGTCTGCATCTGGTCTTAGTCATTCGTAAATAAATGCCCCAAATATCTAAATGTATGGATTGACTCTATAATTATGTTACTAAGTTTGACTTTATTGTTACTTGTTAAATTTCTTAGTGATCAATAGTTGGATGTTGTAATGCTTTTTTGTATTAATATTTATTATAATTTTTGTTGAAATAAGTGATCTATTTAATTTATGATTTACTTGCGATTCATTACTGTGTATCTTCCGTAAATGCTGCTATATCGTGTGTGAATTTTATCTTCACAAATTTTATCTCCATTAACTTTAATAAGATATCTAGATAGCCTATCGCTTTTAAATTAATCCTCTTATTTATTTATTTTTAACATGGGTTGTCTGGAAGAGATTACCGATTGTCAATAAGACCGCCTTTTGATAATTTTCTATCATTCTTGCTTTTATGTACTGTGTGCAATTAAAATAGGTATATCGTTATAAATAATTAGCAACTACCCAACCCGGCACAGTTATTGTGGATGTCTAGAAAAATTCATGTTTACATTGTATTGACATTTTATTTTAATTATTTGCTCCTTTTCTTATCAATTAGAGAGGAATTATAAATTATATACATTCAATAACTTTTAACGTTTTTCAAATAAATGTACTTGAAAAAAATATGATGAAACTGTAAACATACTTACATTAATAAATTGATGCTACATTATATTTCATTGGTAACAAACTCGTATATATTCTATTTCCATCATAAATCTAACACAAGTACTCTTCATGTCAAAACTACGATAATATTATCAGGCGTCGATAACCCTGAACTACTCGACTGTACTTAAAAAATGTTACAGCGGATTCACACTGGCCGTTTCTATCTTAAGGTTTATTAACATATAAAATAAAAAAAAAGACGTAAAGTTACAAAAATACTCCACTGCCGTCGAACATTGAGACTTATCCTGGCTGTGATGGTTGAAGAGTAATTCTACCATTATTGGAATTTAGGCAAATCAGTTGGATCAATTTAAAGTCATCTAAAACAGTATATATATCCTTGTCTCAATATAAGAAAATTCCATATCCTTCCAGATTGTGATTTGATAAAACTGGTTTATACAAATAGCTTCCTACTGGATTTGGTTGTATAATTCTTTTAATTAAACCAACATTAATAAATTTTAACTTTATTTCGGAGTCAAATGTAATAATAAAAATGATAATATGGTTCCTTTATATCATGATAAAACAAGTTTTTCTGTTACCTATCTTTATTACTTCCAAAATGAAAGATGCATTTAACAGGATTAAAACTAATATTATTCTAGCTTACGCAACGAAATTGCTACCATTGGTATTTATTAGTGTTAAAGACGGACGGTGGATTCACCAGAAAATGAATACAGACAAGTTTAACTTGGATATTATTTCTTGAAAGTTATATTGACCGTCAGGATACATGTTTTTATTCCATGCATTACAACAAGAGGTCATTCTTACCAGTTTGAAATAGTTTACATCAAAACTCTTTTAATATACGGAATAATCGGAAAATTGTGTTTGAAAATTATTTATTATTACCTATGGATTGGATATGTTAGTATTATCTTACCAAAGATCACAGTAGACGCACAAAAAATCGTAACAAAAAACCGCAATGTGAACGTGCTGTTATCTTAAACCAAACGGAGCACATTCGTTTCATTTGTTTGTTAAAATTCACGTAAACAGTGATGTGTGCGATTTTCGACAAATAAATTCTAAACAACGGTCCCGTGAAATTGGATTGCAGTTTGAATTAGGAATCTGTGTGAAATGTGCTTATGAGTAGGTAAATAATTAAATTTATATCTATACAACTTAAATTAATGGCCTTGGCTTCCTAAATAGAATTGTTCTAATATTCTAGTCATTGAAAGTGTCATCAAATTTATCATTAAAAATTGCTATTTGATTGGCTATGCTATTACACTTGATTAAGTCCGACAGCTTACTAAGATGAACAGATCAATATCAGTCAGTACTCATTATATTTAATGAAACTTAGTCGTTTGCAATTAATCTTATCGGACAGATTAGGCGATCAAGTAACTAAATGTGTAGCCTACATTACTCGTACCTACGGTTAATTATGTATTATAATAAGCTTTTCGCCAGCGTGGTCTTGTATTATACATAAAAACTTTTCTTTTGAATCACCCTTTGTATAAAAAAAACTGCATCAAAATCCGTTGCGTAGTTTTAAAGACTTAAGCATACATAGGGACATATGGGGACAGAGAAAGCGACTTTGTTTTATACTATGTAGTGATAATTATGAAGAGAAACCGAAATCATCTTTTGTATAATTATTACAAAACTACTACATGTGTTTTTATTATTTTTAGTACCCAAATTTTCTATTGCGAATGCTATCAAAATATTAATTCTAAATATTTAAGTTACATTACTTAAAATTAATAGGATAACTTGTCATTTTTCAGGTTCTAGTAGCAAGCAAAAGGAAAAAGACATTAACATACACTATCGGTGGTCTCGCGATGGTCGTAGTAGTTGCTGTCGTTGTTACACTAGTGGTTGTGTTGTCTGGCAACGAAGGGGACGCCCAGCCCATCGTGTCCACTACAGTAGTACCGACGACACCGATATCAACGACCGCCGCTCCGATCATTTCAACAAGTACCGCACCTCCCGAACCGACACCAGCACCCGAAGAGGAAGATCTGCTTGATCTAGAATCTATAATCAACGGAGTATTCACCCCTGCTACATTCAATGGCACATGGACTTCAGGTAATTATGTTTTCTGATTTTTACCCAAGTGACATAATGATGCTATTTAAATATAGCATTGTAACAGTGTGCCGTGCCACTTGTGCGTTTATTTCGTCCTAGGTTTTAGCATGCAAACTTTTTGTCTTCGATCTTTAACATCATTTCTTTTTAGTATTCACGTTTCATGATTTGAAGTTTTGACTAATCCAATATGCTCTTTATGAATGTCAGTTCGTAGAAAAAATCTTATGTTGTGAAGATGTAAATAGAAATTATATATTATTTAAAATAACATTATATCTTGTCTATTAATATCGTCCAAGTTTACGTATCACGGCAAACCGAAAAATGGTGTTTTTCTTTACATAAAATAAATCAATTCTCAAGCTTAGTCAGCCTTTCATTAATTCGCCCAAGCATCAAACCCGCCACAGCAACCTTTGGATCTGTGCAGGGGACGCTATATTTATTATTTTAAAAATAAACGTATTATGTAAATCCATAATAGTAAGTAACGATGCTATTTGGAATGATAAATGTGTCTACTGAAAAAATAAAATATTATCATGTTGAATATTAAAATAAAATGAGGTGTAGTTACCTAACGTTGGCCAGTGCGCTACCTAACTCAGCTACCAGTTGAGAAGTATATGTAATAGTCCAATGACATTTCATGGCTAAAGGGTATATTGATTTCTTTACCTATACGACTAAGATTTATAACCTAATGTTTCAAATTCCGTACCTTCTGAGTCAAAAGTATCAATCTTAATTTTTTATTTTAGAAATTCAATACTTATATCTGTCGATAGTAGAATCATTTCCTACGATCATATATAAAACTTTCGTTGATATAATTTTCTTCAGTTTTTACGCATTGAGTACATAATTGCACGAAGTTGTTTTCGATTTGTTTTATTTTTTATGTTAAAAATAATGCTGAAAATTAATATATCATTTAAGTATATGTAGACGCTTTTGTATATATATACAAGATATATAATAGATAAATGATATATGCTATTATACGCTATATAACGTAATTAATGCTTAATAAATAAATATTATACAACGTCACAGGCATTACTCAGACTCCAAGATAAACATCGCGAAAGCTTGCATGTGATATACTATTTCTACATCTTCATATTTATTTAATTAAATGCATAACATAAAGTTAGAATAACTTCTGCGAACTGCAATGAGTACGATAACCAGTATAAACAATATTATTTTTTTAATTAGAACTGTGATTGATTTTTTATATTTTTTTACTACTTTTTTAAACAATGTTCATAAAACCTAATAAAACTTATTAATATTAATAACTTGCATTCCAGGCAACGATGTACTATTCAGAAGTGCGAATGGAGACCTGGTCTTGTATGACGTGGACAGCAACAGCACCTTATTGCTTATCAGTAACACATCACAGGTATTTAGAACCACGAAACCTTTTTTATGTTACTCGTGAAGAAGGAGATTATATTTTGCAACTGTTATGTTTTTAGACGTTTTAGTGGTAAATTCTGTTGGCCTACTGCATGAACTAAACTAAAAAAAGGACTTTTAATTTGGGTTTGTTATAACATTAGTCGTTAGTTCTAAGTAAACAACGAAGTATAATTACATTCTCATGTGTTATCATTAGTTTATTACGATTATGTTAGTTACAGAATTAAATAAAAAACCAGTTTCAAACGTAAAAAGCTATATTTACTAAGTTTGTGCAACAGAACTGCTACCATTGTCCGGTACCTATTCTATTAATTTATTGTTTTGAATGAATAGTATTTTATTATAAAATTGTTCTCGTTAATAGCAATATTTCAATATCAATAAGTGATAAGTGAAAATTTATCTGGATAAGCAATCTCTAAAGATAATTGTAATTACTCATAATTATCAATAACACCGCTAAATATCAAGCAAAAGACGGCACTATACATTTTATTGCCACTAATTTATTTTGTTTTTCTGTTAGAGCTCCTATTATACAAATTTTTACTATAAGTTGTGGAATGTTTAGTACTGAAAAAAATGGGCAGTATTCTAGGTAGCCGAGGTACGCCGTAATTGTTATCTGTACCGAACTCCAAATTAATATTTTAAAATGTTAAAATAACTCAAGTGTAGGTCCACTTAGAAACAACTCAGTATAATGTAGGTAAAATCAATGAGACGTCAGGTTACATAAAAGTTTTGAATTTTATAATTGATATGATGGTGAAATCAAGTCGTGCCTCTAGGTAGGTTACATTAGTTTGTATATTTTTTAAATTAGGTCATAATTGCTTTAATTAAATTATATTCGAAGGGTATATTCTGTTAATCCTGAAATTCAACTTCTAAAAATGTTGTAATTTTTTTTCTATATTTTTTAAATCATCTGTACGGTTATGAGTAGCGGTACCAGGTCTTGACAATTTTGCGTCATGAATGGCGGAAAAATATATTTTTTAGAGTCGTATAAGCATTTATAAATTTCATTTATCGGAGAGACATATTTTGTGGCAAAATTAATAATCCTATTCTATTCTATTCTTTTATTGGGCTATTAGTATAAATGGTTGTATTGTTGATCGAAGTATAAATGGTTATCAACATATTATTTGAACTGTGCAAAATTAATCTTAATACAAAATGCTTAAAAAATCCACTTGCTCCCTGGCACCCCGAGATGGGAATCGAACCCAAGACCTTTCGCAATCCGGGCGACTGCTCTATCCACTGAGCTACCCAGGACCAAACAGTACTGACGAATCTTTCAAGCACTCGTTACTTTTCGCTACTACAGAGCGCACTCTCATCAATGTTCAGGCACCCACCCAAACAGCCGAAAGAAATATTGTTACAAATATTGGAACTTTCGATAAAGATGAGAATTTTGTTCTAATTATTATATTTTGATTAATTTTGCATTCACAATGTCATACTGAAAATTATTCTTAATACAAAATCCTTAAAAAATCCACTTGGTCCCTGGCACCCCGAGATGGGAATCGAACCCACGATCCGCAATTCGGGCGGCTGCTCTAACCATTGAGCTAACCAGGACCTAACAGGACTGGCGAATCTTTTCCATCATTTTCTTGTCATACAACGAGTTCAGTTGATCTTATTCGATTTCATAAATTTGAATAAATGTAGTGATTTCAGATTACCATTTATTTTATTGTTACTATTATCATCTTCATAATCAGCCCTTTTACGTCCCCACTGCAGGGGCTTTGGTAAGGAAAATGGGCCATGCGGCTTATAGTGGGTATTGACGACTGCAAATGCAGCCAGAACCAACGGTTTAACGTACCTTCCGAAGCACGGAGTAGCTCGAGATAAAAAATTTTTGGTCACCCATCCCGTGACCGACCCTTGCAAAAGTTTGCGTGACACCATCGATCGCGGGCCGAGGCACTTATCCACTACACCACCTAGCTACTCAATTGTTATTTTACAACATATTAATAGTTTGATCCCTTCCACAGCTTCTCCAGCAGTCATCACGGGTAACTGTTCTATCCAAAGACGGTGAATTGGTGATGTTAGCCCACAACGTTATTCCGGTAATTTAATTTTAATTGCTTTTTTATTATCAGAATGAAAGAATATAATTTAATTAAAAATTATTAATGGTAGTTACTGGTTTACATAGTTGAAAAGCTCCTAAAAATGATTCGTCCTCAAAACATCACGTTGTGGTGTAAGAATTGAAACTTTTAATATGAAATTCGTTATTAATATTCATAAATAACGTGTTGATATTTTAAAACACATTTTCTCTCTTTAATCCGATAATTATTTGGATTGTTAAATTATAAATACGGTGACATATAAGTCCTAACATCACAATGCCTGTTGATAAATATTTGGTATTTAATGATCATTACAACATACATTTTTAATGATATATTTTACATCTATAGAGCAAATAAAACATTAATTTACTCAATCATTAATGTAGTTAATTTGAATTTCTGAATAACTTTATCAAGCCAAAAGTAGTGTAGCTACTATATTTATTTGTGTCTATTCCCATAAAAGATTCATCGTGAAGATGTAGACAAATTATAATAATAAATACCAGTGACAAAAATATTTTTCATTACCTAAATATAATCTGTTTTCAGATTTTCAGATACAGTTTCTACGCCCACTACACTGCTGTGAACAAATTCAGTGGTGACCATACGATCATTTTGCCACCTGGAACGAATGCGTCGCAAGCGTTCCTTCAGAATTTCCAATGGGGTCCAACTGGTACATCACTTGCCTACGTGTACGAGAACAATATTTACTACCAACCTAACATCACCAGTGAACCTGAGCTTATCACGGATACCGGTGAACCTAACGTCATTTACAATGGCATTCCTGATTGGGTTTACGAAGGTATGTAAAGCAAAAACAAAGTTGCTTGGCACATTTAAACAAAGGAGCTAGATCACATTATTATTTCTCATAAGAGTAACGTTGCGTATTAATGCACTTTTGTTAAACACGTTGCTGACTCTTTCTACTAATATTATATAGATATTTAGGGCCGATACAATTTTCCTACCTGCTAAAACATTATCGTCTATTTAGATATTGAATTTTGATCGTAAAATAATTAATACAACATAAAAATAATGGAGCATCCAAGTAAGCATAATGCGTTTCAAAACATATAGATAAACAGCCAAACAATAGAAGAATATTAAAAGGGTCTTATTAACTTAAGTCTTAGCACTCTGGAATACAAACGTTTTAATTTCATTTTCAGAGGAGGTGTTTTCTTCGAGTAACGCCATGTGGTTCTCTGCTGATGGAACGAAACTTGCATACGTCACCTTCAACGACACCGAAGTAAGGCGCATGAAGGTTCCACACTACGGCGTGCCCGGCTCCGTCGATTATCAATACACGCAACATCACGAACTCAGATACCCCAAGGTACTATTGTAGATCCACTATAGTTCTTTACAGCTCGGTTTTTAAATTTGTCTCATTTACTTGAAGAAATAGAGAAACGTAACTGACTTTTTATTTAGGTTAGTATTAAGAATATAAGGTAATTTTATTAGAAATCATTTAATTATTGAAGCATGAATGATCTTTCATCACATGAGGGCATAAAACGAATGCTATTGGTGCTGACTATTTTTGTTTTTCAGCCTGGGACAATAAATCCAACAGTCTTCGTTACACTTCGTGACCTGGATTCTACTGTTGAATCGGTTTACAATGCGCCCACTGATTTGAACGAGTAAGTGTATCATCAAATCATACTATTTATTACTTTACAAGCCTTGTCTTTATTAGTTTATGCAAAAAATCTTAACTAAAACGCAACATCATTAATCGATATAACCACTAATCCTATTTGTTAATTTTCTTGGAAACCTACGCTTTAGTAGATTTGATAGAATAAATAACTCATGATTCTTTTTAACCCAACAATTAATAAACTGTTCGCTATTTTGTAAAAAGAGAATATTTAAATATTCTAATCCTTTCATGGCAATGAGAAAGTATTTATAAAAAAACCCTTCCGGTTTTCTTTCATGTTTAAAAGTAAATTAGTTTTAAAAACTCAATAAAAATTTCATAATCTATTTGTACTCTATCGTATTTGTATTGATATCTAAGTTTTGAACTTTTCAAATTTCAATTCTTTAATATGTTAGTTAAAAGGAACGGACATGACTGTCTTTGGTCCGTTCGTTTCCTGCAAAAATCAACTTTTGCTAGAGGCGCCATCTAGTGGAGGTGCTTATTTTTAGTGCTTTCGTTTTTTTTTTAAATACTTCCTCATAACGAATTAATATAATAAATAATAATTTAGCTCGGGTGGAGTGCATGAATAATGATTAAAATATACTCTTTAGTAGCGTAAAGTAACAAGTGCTTTAAAAATTCGTCAGTCCTGTTAGGTCCTAGGTAGCTCAGTTGTTAGATCAGTCACCCGGATTGGGAAAGGTCGTGGGTTCGAATCTCATCTCAGAGTAATCCCAGGGACAAAGTGCGTTTTTCATAATGAAAAAATGTTCAGTATAGCATTGTGAATGCAAAATTGATCAATTATAATAAATGAATAAGCTTATCGATTGACGATGTTCGGTTCAAACGATAATAGGGAATATGCGTCTGATTCAAAAAATGGTTAAATATATTTTATTGCAATCGTTATTGCTTTAGAATAAAGTCTATCTAAATATTTTTTAACATTAGTTCGTTTTCGTCTTAAAAATAATTATTAAAAAGTGCAAAATAAATGCGGTAACTTCAAAATATTTAAACGCCAACCTACTTGTCAGAGCGGATGTGACGAAAATGTACACGTATAGGGATGTCGTTATTACAAAAAGTTAACATCGATACAATAACATCAATTTATTATGTTGCAAAATAAACAACTGATTGCAATTTAAATGATGTTTTATGCTTTTATTTTTATTTCACCAATATGGTAAATTATATGATTTATTAAAAAAGTCTATTATACTTTAAAAAATCGATTAGTTGTTAATCGATTTGGGTAATTGAATAATAATCAATCACTCAAAATCCATATTGATTTAAAATGTCATATCTCTAGTCGTGTACTTTGACGTCACGACGAGCGCGCCAAAAATTCCGGTGTTTAAACTGCTCGTAGCTGTTACTTATTTTCATTAACTATTAATATTACATAAGTTTTTCGTTGCCGGGTATTTTTTTTACAGTTATTTATCGATGTAAATTATCATATAAAATCTTTTTCCAAAAATGTGTATATTCCCTATTTCAAGATGTCAAATCTAAAGTACTAGATGTGATTCTCGATCGGGCATCAGTGTATAATACAATTCGGGTCAAAAGAGTTTTACCTACTTGAGAATTGAGGAATGTACGAGTATGTATTTATATTTTCTAATAGATTGTTAGTCATATTAGGCAAATATTGTAATTTCGTATAGAATTAAATGTTTGTATTTGTTATATAATTATGTTTTTACATGTAATCCTGTTTCTTTTACATTTTTGTAAAATTTATATTTTTGTTTACTTGATAATATACTAAGTGTGATGTTTTGTAATATTTATTTATCATTAACAGGCCGATATTGAAGTCTGTGCAGTTCGTGAACAACAATGCGATCGCAATCATGTGGACCAATCGTGTGCAGACTCAACTATTAGTTACGTTGTGTCCATTCGAAGGCACTTGTTCTCAGGTCTGTACATTATTTACTTTTACGTTATTTATTTATCGATTTATCAACGTTCGCCATTTTGTTATTAAGAGATTTATAGAAGAATCGTGGCGATGTAAAACAAGTGCTTAAAGATAGATCATCATCATCACCAGCCCTTTTACGTCCCGCTGCAAGGGGCTCAGGCCTTCCTTATGAATGGTTAAGGAGGATGGGCCATGATCCTCCACGCTGGCCCAATGCGGATTGGAGGGTATTGGATTGCAAATGCAGCCGGGACCAACGGCTTAATGTGCCTTCCGAAGCACGGAGTAGCTGGACATAATAATTTTTTGGTCATCCTGTGACCGACCCTAGCGAAAGTTGCTTAACGAATACGATCGCGGACCGCGGCGCTTATCCACTACGTCACCGAGCTACTCAGATATCAGAGATACATAATGTCATTCAATAATAGGAAAATAATAAATAATATGAATAACGAATTCATGAGTGACATAGACGTAAATGACTAACTCATTATTACATAGTATTGCCTTTTTCCATCATCCTATCCATTTCTGTTAGTCATTCCCGATATTTGCTAGAGGAAGAAAGATGGCATGTTGCCTCGGCTGGAGTATTACGCGACGTGCTATCGCACTTCAATTATCTTTCTCGGTCTAGCAAATGGTGAATCTAAGCGACAGAATAGGATAGGGCGATAGAAAGGAACACTGCCGTGGTGACAGATGTAGTCAGACTTACTACTACCTATTTGATCTAAAATCATAAAACGCAATGCAAATTCCATTACGCAACTAGTTGTATGATATTAGTTTTATTACATTATTTTAGCGAAATTAAAGTAATTAATTAAAACGTGTAAACGTCCAGTTTCGCAATTCATGCATTCGTTCACGATACTAAAGTAGTTTATGCATATTTTTTATGAAACAACTTTCACGAAAATAATATCAAGACAATTTACATAGCGAAACCAGTATCACAGCATCATCTGCGTGTAACACGCCTTCTTTATTAGCAGAGCCAGAATCAGTTGTTTGCACGCCCCGAAAATAATTATATGTGCAGAAATTAATTTCGATATGTACCTAATTCCGGTTAAAAATAAATTATGCTATTAATAATAAATTATGTTTATTTATTGGAAATTAACATTTTTTCAACAAAAGCGTAAATCAAACAACACTCACACAACGTCAACGTTAATAGAGAAAAAATGTTCTTAATTGGGATTTTATAATCTTTCAGATTTTCACCTACACCGAAACAAATGGTTGGATTGACAATATTCCCTTTATCTTCAATCAAGCTGGAAATGCTTTTATAACAATATTACCGCAGGTTTGTTTTAATATTACTTCGATACACCCTCGATACACACTATTGAATTCATACGAGTAAGCGAAAAAGCTTAGATATTTTTGAAATCACTAAAATTATTTCACCAGGTAATTATTTATTACAATTTCAAGTTTATTGCTAATTAATTATTACACATGAATTGAATTTATATTGCAGTTCCTGGTCAAATTTTAAGCAATTGCACGTTTTTTAGTTTTGTTGAAAATAGTGCAGTGTCTTTGTACAAGTAACTTTTAATTAGCGATTTACATTCACACGGGCTATTTATGCTAGGATTTAATTTTTAATCGAGAAGTTTTCCGAGTATATCGCTTTCGGCTGGTTTCTTAGGCTCAAAAAGCTGTAATAATATTAGTGGTACAAATTATATTCTACGTTTTATTATATCTGGGTAACTGTATAAGTATGTATGTTTGTTACTCTTTCACGCAAAACCTACAGAAGGGATTTTGATGAAATTTGGTAAAGGGATAATTTTATGCCTGGATTAACATGTAGGTTACTTTTTAACCCATTTAACAGTTCCGGTTATTGATTGAGAAATAATTTTTATAAATGTCATAATGCCAACACCGCTAGAAAGTGTGACATCAAATTTTCTCTTCGACCACTTCAAGAGAATAGATTACGATAAATTTTATAGGCTGTGTTAAATTCATTTCTAATATATTTTTGTTTTCATAATTTACAGTTTGTAAACGGAAGACTATTCAAACAAATTGTACAAATCTCTGATATAAATGCGAGTATGTGGACTGCTTCTGGCCGCACTAAGACGCCACATACAGTCACCAAGATCCTCAAGTGGACATCTGACGACGTTGTGTGAGTGTTGTTGAATTTACACTTTTCTTCTGATTTTTATTAAAGAAACACTCTGTAGATATTAAAGTGATATTGCTAACTATGGTAAGCCAATTCTGGAAGAGAAGTGAAATATGGATATCAATTATGTAGTTTATTTTCTGTTTAGACATTATTGTGTGTCGACTGCGCGAAAATCCAATTGCTAATCGGTGTTTAGCTAACAATAAGATGTGCCCCTAAATGCGAATTTCAGATGTCAACACTTTTCTCATTAATGAGCAGGAACGGAATCTTGCATGAGATGAAATCTTGAATTTTAGAAAGCCTTTTTAATTCCCAAATTTGTAAGCATATTTATAAAAAAATAAGCATGTAAGCATATTTATAAATAATAATCAATACTGCTATTCTCATTACGTCGATAGTTCTATTCAAACTTACGAGGTAATAGCGTCCGTATATGTTTAAACTTATAAACAAGTAGATTCAGTTAAAGATTAATGAGAGGATATTATCTTATTTTCTTTTAAATAGCGTACGTTATAGGAGGCTGAACGAAGACCCGACCAATTTCAAAAAAGACTGACGGAAAAGGGAGAAAAAAAATGTATTTGTAAACTTTTGTATGTACTTCCAGATGGTACGAAGCAACACACGTGAACGATACAGCTCAACAGCATGTGTACAGCGTTAGTGCAAGCAGTGAGGTGGTATGCTTCACGTGCAACGTGAGCAGGACAGACGGTGGCGAGTGTCTCTACAACGAGGGCTCGCTCAGTGAGGACGGAGCGAGGATCGCCATCAATTGTGCCGGACCTCATATACCGCAGACTCTTATTTACAATACCGTAAGATATTATGAGCTTTAACTTTTAATCAATAAAAATTCTCTAAAGATCGAAATATCATAAGCTTTGATGAATACTAATCATTTCGTTTGATGAATACTAAACTCACAGTAACTAAAGTCATTTATAAGTAAAAATATATTAAGCTACACCTCATAACTATAACGGATTCATTAGTTCTGCTTGATGACTCTATATTATGACAAAAATTGTCAACTGATGGATCAAATAGCGTGTTAGTTATGGACTTTATTTCTTTTAGAATATCTTCTTTTATTATAATCGTTTTAAGTAATCCACAAAATTATGAATATTTCAGGATGGTACTCGTCTTGCTACTTGGGATACGAATGAAGAAATCTCATCTTTATTAGACGGTCACTCTATACCTCAAACTGTACGCATCACACTGCCGTCCGCGGACATCCAGCTGCAAGTGCCCAGCGACTATCTCAACAGAACTAATGTACCTCTCCTAGTATATGTGTAAGTGGGTTCTGTATTAAATAAATACGAATATTAAATTAAAATATATTCGTTGATTAAACACCAAATAAAGTTGCTAAGGTTCTTGTGTTATGCAAAACTCTAACAACAATATTGAAATATAATTTTCCATGGTGACCTAGACGTGAAAACTGACCAGGGTTCTCTGACTAAAATAAAGGGATTCAAGAGACAAACTATTCAATTTAACAATTTTTTCTCCTGCAATTACAAAGTATCAAATTATTGCCAAGTGAAACCGATTTTAAGGCATCACCAGGGCAAAGCCGCTGGCGGCGAGCTGAGAAGTCATATTATTTATTTTATAAACTAGCTTATTTATATTGTCTTGGGCCAGAGGTCTTGTATTTATAATTTAAATGAGCCTATACTCGATATTTTGACCCCGTTTAATTACATAGCTCTCATGTCCACCTTTTAGTTCCATAATCAGACCCCGAATATTATCTCAAACAGAAGTCAAGAGACAGAAGTCAAGACTAATTAAACTCGATATAATTGTTTTGTTTAACTACATAGCTACTTTGCCGCTTCACTTCAGATCAGCTCTTTTCTACATATATTAATATCGTATGATATTCAAAATTACCAGCTCAATTGAAAAGCAGGCCATGCCAAATTTAGCATGCAAGATTATGGTTCAAATCTTGCAAGATAAAAGCTTACAAAATGTATTATTATTAAGGTTTTCTTTGAACACGTTATCAATCGTAACGTGTAACTATATTCCGGTACAGATACGGCGGTCCAGACACAGCTCTAGTGACGCGTCAGTGGAATATCGACTGGGGCACGTCGCTGGTGGCGCGTTGGGGCATCGCCATAGCGCACATCGACGGGCGCGGTTCCGGTCTGCGGGGCGTCGAGAATATGTTCACCATTAACAGGAAGCTTGGCACTTACGAGATAGAAGACCAGATCGCCGTAACTAGGTATAGTATTGTTGCCTGTGCGGAGTCGATATTTCGTTTAAAAAATATGCTTCAGGCATCCCTGAAATATATGTGTGTCATACCGATACACACAGTAAGAGTTAAGCCTGACATCAACTACCATCTGATTTCTAATAAGATGGCCTGAATTTTAAAGCTGGGACTTCACTAGACGGGCATTCCCGCTGGAACTCGCTACTATTGTTTTATGTAATTATTGCGACGGTCCTAGATGCATGGTCTGGCATGCAAGTCTGCAGACTTGCTCGCGGGCATACCCGTCTAATGAACTCCCCGCTAAAATGACAGTTACCCGAACTGTGCCATCTCACCGCAAATAAAAAAATGTATTGTGATCTTAATGATTGAAAGTGATTCATGGATTACGATTGTGAGTATTTACATTAAAAACATAAATAAAACAGCCTAATGAAGACATATAAAATCATTTTCAAAGATTTGATGAATAAAAAACACATGTAGTATATAATAGAACAGTTATATGAATCATTTAAAAGAGTTAAGTTATAACACCTAAACGAAGGTTTGATTTTTATGGATTTAGAGATAACTCATTGGATTTTATTGTCTCATACTTGACTGACAGAGTACAGAGAGTTGATATCAATGGCAAAAGATCCCCTGGATCGAAAATTAAGATGGGCGTTCCGCAGGGCTCAATACTTGGTCCTTTCTTGTTTTTGATTTACATAAATGACTTGCCTTATTTCGTAAGGGATGATCACGAAATAGTTTTGTTTGCGGATGACACTTCACTCTTGTTTAAAATTAAAAGAGGGTTACCTCTAAATGACGATGTGAACAATTCTATCGCTAAAGTAGTACATTGGTTTAATGTAAATAATCTTCTCCTTAATGAAGGAAAAACAAAATGCTTAAAATTTGTACTACCTAATGTTAAAAAAGTAGATATAAATGTTAATATAAAAGATAAGAACATGGGCCTTGTGGATACCACAGTATTTTTAGGAATAACATTAGATTCTAAACTACAGTGGGGCCCACATATTGATAGATTGTCGAGTAGACTTAGCTCTGCAGCATATGCCGTAATGAAAATACGTAGGTTAACTGACATAGATACTGCCAGATTAGTATACTTCAGTTACTTTGCATAGTGTTATGTCGTACGGTATCCTATTGTGGGGAAATGCTGCCGACATACAAACAATTTTTGTGCTTCAGAAAAGAGCAATTCGATCAATTTATAATCTTAGGATTAGGGACTCTTTAAGGGAGAAATTTAAGGAAATAGACATTATGACTGTTGCTTCTCAATACATATACGAGAACTTAATGTACGTTCGTAAAAATATTAGTTTGTTTTCTATAAAAAGTGATGTACACAATTTTAATACAAGAAATAAAAATAAATTAACGGTGCCTGTCACTAGACTGCAAAAAGTTAATAACTCATTCAAGGGTCTTTGTGTGCGCTTCTACAATAAGGTCCCAAGCAAAATACAACAATTAGATATCATGCAGTTTAAATCTACTATTAAAAAAATACTTTATTAAAAAAGCTTATTATAAGGTAGATGGCAGGCTTTATAGTGTATTGTTTCTATAGGTACTTACAGCAGCATCATTCGTGGATAGACAGTAACCGCACATGTATTTGGGGTTGGTCGTACGGCGGGTACGCTTCGTCGCTGGCGCTTGCCCGCGGCGGGGAAGTATTCCGGTGCGCGGCCGCTGTAGCACCCGTAGTGGACTGGAGGTTTTATGGTGAGTGGATTACTTGACTATCGATAGATGGCGGTAATGTTAAATTTTTTTCATTAATGAAAACACGTTAATTTTTCACGCCAGTAAGGCATTCTGCTAATGCGAGTGTAACTAGGGAAACCAAATAACGCTTTAACAGTTCTTGTTACAAGATAACAAAATAATAAATATCACCTTTGATTTGTGATGAAGACATTGCATTTTTTAGTTCATTCAACAGAAAGCTGCTCATTATACTTGTTTCACAAAAACTACGAAAATGAACTACTCCGAATAAGTAATAATTTTATAAACTTTTATATCATAGAAATCGTGAAGTTAATTATAGTTAGGTCTGTCTATATATCTTTTGAAATAGTATTCTTAATTAACGTGTTATTTTCAGACACTATATACACAGAGCGGTATATGGGCTTACCCAGTGAGAACGCCGCAGGTTACGCTCAGTCTTCGCTTCTAACCGATGATGTTGTAAGTATTTCTTATTTGCCATTATTAATATGAAAATTTCACTATTATTATTACTAGAATTAGAATACGTAGCATATAAAAGTTTTGAGTAAAAGATTCCCGTTAGAATTTATTTTATAAAAAAGTGTTATTTGCCACGAAAGAAGAACAATTGAAGCAAGTTTTTTCTTATAATTAAGCGGACTGCGTGAGCGGAGTTTAATAAGAGAAAAAGAGAAGAGAAGGGCGTGAATAATTCGAGTTAGACACATCACACAATAAGTAATGTTTACGATTCACCAGAAAGTTCAGCTCTCACGGCGATTAAAAGGGACAGCTCAGTATTAAATCTAAATGTATTTTTTCTTATTTAAGCACAGCTGGCACTTAACTGTTCGCTTCTGGTGAAGATTTCAGTAGTTAATTCGCGCAGCGAAAAAAAGGAGGAAGCCCTTTAGCCGAAAAAAAAACGTTTATTTTTTCAACGCTAGATGCGCGGCTGTCCCGTACACTCATTTTCGATGTTTCGTTTAGGAACCGCACTATTACAAAGCTGTAAGGAAGTCCAACATCGAATATTAAACACATCCTCTATCAAAACCAGTACGAAAATCTATTCTATATTCAGTTCCAACAAAATACGCCTTGGTTGGTTTTAGACAATTTTGTTATATTATTTATGATACTTTTGGTGTTATATTAATATCTGTATCAATAGAGATGTGTAAAATGTAGTTTATATTTCATATAAATGTAGTTGTATGTGTTCGAATGCACAGAAGACCATACGGGATGAATTTTGTAACAGTAATAATTTAATTAATATATTCACGAGTAATCAAAAACACATGCGCTAAGCGGCCTAAAGTAACATACCAATATCTACATATGTACGTTCTTTAATCGTTCAGGTGGAGGCATTCCGTAATAAACGATACATGCTGATCCATGGCACAGCAGATGACAACGTGCACTTCCAACACTCTATGCTCATATCAAGGCTATTACAAAGACGAAATGTTTACTTCACGCAGATGGTAAGTTTCTTTATCTTCGACTGGTCTACTCATTGAGCAAGCCAAGATTTAGCGAGACTGTCTATGACTATTATTCTACCGCAGTTCCATTGTTATAAAAAAATATAGGCAGAATAGCTTTATCGTTAGGGCCAGCGTATGATAATATGACGACACTTGGTGAGTGAGGTGTGATGTTGACATCTTTATAACATTAATACAATTAACTCTCTCCAGTTGATATTTTATAGCCGCAGGTATGATTAAGTATTAATTAATGCAATTCGTGTAAGTAATAACTTACAAGATTTAAGTTATATTTGTATCTATATTGAAACCTTTAATTGGCTTATTGTTTATTGTGGATAGCTGTTGGTTTCCAAGTAATAGGAACTGCAGCCGATACCCTTCTAAGGCCTGAACTAGTAATGTACCTTGATCAGCGTCATCATCAGCCAATTTTGTCCCCACTACTGGAGCAAAGGCCTTCTCTTTATGTATAGAATTAAATAAGAAGAAGCTATAATACTACACCAATCAGACTCAATGCAGATTCGTGCGTTTTAATGGCGGCAGTCACAATCGGGATCAACGATTAACGTAGATTTAGAAGCACAACCTGATATAATTAATTTTCACTCATCCCGTGAAAGTTTCTCAACGAACGCAGCAATGCGCAATGATTTGCGCAATTGAGCAAGATTTTGAAATCACCACCTCATTAAGAATCAAGTAGGCTAGTTCCATTTTTTTATAATTTTGGTGTTATTAACCTTATTGCCAATTTTATATAAGAAAATTTTGTTTTCAGTTAACACCATAATAATATTAAACATGTCTAACCTTTTTACAGACTTATACAGACGAAGACCACGCTCTTACGGGTGTTCGGCCCCATCTCTACCACGGTTTGGAGAAGTTCTTACAAGAAAACATGCTTTAATCAAGTGCTAAACTAGAGTCAACTGAAAATAATGTGAAACGACAATGGAACTAATTCAATCTACCATTCAGATTCAGAAGATTCAGTAACAAAAGTTATAGTGAAAAATTAAAACGACGTTGACGACGTAACTAATTTTCTCTAAAATAATTACGCTACTATTAAGAGAATGGGCTGAATTTTTCTTACCGTGAAATATTCTTTAGTTGAAAAAAGAGAAATCCACTGTATACTGTTATTTTTAATATTTACTATTTTAATTACGAGACAAATAACGACTTTTATCCTCTACTGTAATGTTTTTGTGATTTCATAGATTATAAGTAGGTACATAATTAAGTAAAATAATAAGTTTAATTGGATTTACTTAAAAGGAAAGGTTTTTTTTTTATGATTATATCTTGGATTGATCGTTGTGTACTTTTGGATTAGTTCTTTTATGTTTCGCATCCTTCTCTACATCACAATGTTCTTTTTTTATTTGTTATACAATTTTAAATGATTTATTGGAATAACATATACGACTTAAGATATTGTTACATTCCTTTATGATTTGAAAGCTGAGTCGTTGCGGCCATCGTGCCCATGTTGACTTGATTATTTTTCTGTTTAAATAGTATTAAATAAAAGTTACTATAGTTATCCATCGCCATGTTGTTTACATAAACCGAGTTAAATTATAAATAAAATAATTGTTTTTGAGCACATGCTATATTTATTGAACGTTGATTATTATCAATACCTTAATCTTATTTATTATAATTTAAATGAGTTAACAAATAGATCACATCATGATGTATGGCGACTCGTAACAATATCATAGTTTTAACTTTACACCAATTGTTATTAAACTGGTTTTTCAGTGGTAGTATATTGAGTATTGTAAGTTTACTTGACGTTGCCAAATCTATTACAGTATGTTGACAGGGTTAAACGTATTAAGACATTATTTACTGATACGTGTATTATAAATGTACCTGTAGGAGATAACCCTAAACTGTCGAAGTACGTTTGTAAATATTTAATGTACTTTAAGTACAAAATATGTCGTAATAAATGTTTTTTTTTATATATCTGGCTTACTATTATTTCTAATCAAAGAAGCGATCCAATGAATCCTTTATCTTGATCCTCTAAATCGTAATGATGGAATTATTATTAAATTTTTTATTTAAAGTAGGTATATTTATATTTTAAAGTTAATACGTGACTTCGACAAATCATCATCATCAGCCCTTTTACGTCCCCATTTCTTAGGCCTTCCTTATGATTGGTTAAGGACGGTCCATGACCACGCTGGTGCAATGCGGATTGGAGGGCATTAATGACAGCAAAAGCAGCGAGACCAACGGTTTAACGTGGCTCCCGAGGCTGACGGAGTAGCTCGTGGTAATAATATTTAGATCGCCCATCTCGCGACAGACTCTTGCGAAAGTTGCTAAACAACAACTATCACGGTTCGCGACGCGTTTATTGAATACACCACCGAGCTATTAGACAAATATTACAGTTTAATTAGGCTATACAATAACCACAGAATTTAATCATCAATATTCAGAATCGAATTAGCAGATTTATCTTTGAGTTTAAGCATTTTTCTCAATTATATTTAATACTTATTTAAATTGCTTGGGATTTTATATAGAGTACAACTTTATTGTTAAAGCGCAAAACACTCGTGAAGGAATTCTTTGGCAACGTTAATTTTATTTCTTGTTTGAGAATTGTCATCATCATTAGCTCTTTACCCGATGCAGGGGCTCAGGCCTTTCTTATGGATGGCTAAGGAGAATGGGCTCATGAGTCTTCCACTCTAGCTTAATGCAGATTGGAGGGCATTAACGACTGCAAATGCTCTGCGTCACCAAGTTATAATGTTAATAAATGTCACAGCTTAGATGGAATAGTGGGTGTATTTCGGTTAGACATGAGACACGCTTTCGAGTCCCGCTTTATGATAATCTTCTCAACAAGCAGCAAAATATCGCGTTGCCTAATAAAAAAAGTTGTAAAATCAAAAAAAAAGTTTCATATTTCTATTTGGCTCTTTAGCTGGCAGTTCTTAAAGTTAAAAGCACATTCCCATCCGCCATATTCCATTAGGGAATAATAAGAAACACTTAGCGCCCATTTCTGTTTCATGCATTGTATAAGATTGTGAAGAGTGGCACAAATTGTTTCCTTTTAGGATTGTTTCATTTTAAAGTGGTTATTTACGTAAAGACAAGTCAGGAGTAATTATATATTTTTTATATTTGTTTAACTGAAAATTGAGATCATTTAGTGATGTTTTTCATTATGCAATACTGAAAAATTATTTTAATCGAGCATTTTTCAAATAATTATTATAAAATTAGTTTTTATATAATAATCTTAACGTATAATAACTTATTATTTTTATACGAGCACACCTCTGTACTGTACCAGAGCTGTTAATAAAAACTTTTTAACGCAACGAGCATAATACCTGACACTGTCTCCGATACGCAGCTAACCTGCACACAAATAATGCTAATAAATAACTATCATCATCATGAACATCAGCCATAGGACACCCACTGCTGAGCATAGACCTCCCCCATAGATCTCCTCGACGATCGGTCCTACGCTGCTCGCATCTAACGGTTTCCCGCAATCTTTGTCAGATCGTCAGTCCACCAGGTGGGGGGCCTCCCAAATGAGCGTCGTCCAAAACTTAGTCGCTATTGCAGATATTTACGGTCCTAGAAAAAATAAATAAAGGAAAATCTCGTCATTATCATCATCATCAGCCCTTTTACGTCTTAACTGCAGGGTGAGCTTCCTTGTAGATGGTTAAGGAGGATGGGCCATGACTAGTGTTGCTTGTATGTATTTATATCATATTCATCACATCATAGATCCTCAAACACTTCATACGAGCCAATGTTGCACGCACAAATTAATTAATTTACTTTATTTACCTTCACTTATTTATACCAGTTCTTCTAACTGCAGTTCCTGAAGGGTTCTCGTGCTGTATGAGGTCTCGCGTTGTCATGGAGCAATAATGGTGAAGATCGATTCATAAGTCGGGGCTGTTTTACTGCTAGTTTTGCCAACATTGTACGGAGTTCGGTATAATAGACATCTGCCGTTATTGCTTGACCAGATCGAAGAAAATATAGTGAATAACACCGTGTTGAGACCACTTAATAGTTACCATTGCCTTTTTATTGGTAAGTTTTGATTTAGGAGACTGACACGTTCTTTTCTTATTAAGTGATAAAAATAAAAAAAAAGAACGATATATAGGAAAGAATATTTATTTGCGATAAGTAAAATCGAGGTCAAGGTCCCTAGGGTCGTGGGTAGGTTTCTTAGAGGTCTGATGGTAGATCACTCGATAGAACTTCCCTGTACTCCTGTGAATTCTACGGTGCGCCGGGCTTCAATTTCTGGTTTCCATAAGGCACTTCTCCAATTCTCAAATATCAATTCCCAGTATAAGTAAAGTTGGCGTGATTTTCTTAATCCGTACGGAGTTCCTGAAGAAGTCACAATAATGCCACATTATTACCCGGAAAGAGAAGTCGGGTACTGCCACTAGCGTTGGTCGTTAAAATTAGCAATTAAATCGTAGAATCTAGCAAAGCTAGTTAGTACAGGAGTGAAGAGAGTATTCTTAATTAATCTGGGTCGAAGTGGCAGTTATAAATAAAAAAAGCAGTAACGGTTACATAAACTGATGGCATTTAAATGAAATAAAAAAAAGAACATGGAACGTAGGTAGCAAAATAACATATATATCAATAATGACTTTTATTATTGATCATGAAATATTACGGTGATTCTTGTTAAACTTAAGTAAATTAATTAAGCAAAAGCTGCATACTTAGAAATGTAAAATAAGTAACTACAATAATTCAAACGTTTCTACTCATTAAATAATTGGTTAAATGCACAACTTACCCAGTACGGGATTATATTTTTTCACTACACTTCTAAGTGTTTCTTATATTTATTTAAACTTTTTTTTTTTTATATATTTATTTAAAATAAGAATCGTCAGTCGAAGACTTAGTAAAAATCGAACAGACTTTATATTTTGAAAAGCGTTACACAGCTGTTTTCAAACAAGATTCATTTGTAAGTGTGGCTCGCAACAGGCACGAGCGGCTGGCCGCCGCCGGCCGCCGCGCGGTCGACTTGTTATCGTTTTTTATGCTACCCGCGCCCGCGCCAACATCGCTGTATATATATATTACATCTGCGTGCGATCTGTTTGTTTGTAAATATTTAATTTGTATATAGTTAGGTTTTAAGTATTTTTTTTTTTTAACGTATAATTATTTATTCTTTAGTAGTTATTAAGTTTTCATTAAAAATTAACATAGTTTTAAGATTATTATTTATTTTAATTTATTTGCAGTTTGTAAATAATGATAAACAATTCATAATTAATACGGAGACACGTAAACATTAATTTACTGTTTTATCATTAAATAGAACAACGTTACAGTATCCCCCTTCCAGAGAAGGATTTTTCCCGCCTTGATTAGAAAAATCCACAAAAGAAAATCGCTCTAAAGTTTCAGATCTTTAATGTGCCAGGCTCCCAGGTCATTACCAGCCATGTCTTCTAGCACATAAACCAACGGAGAACGTTTTTGTTTAATTTTACATTTCACATATTTAGGTGTCAATTTCTTAGTCAAATGTGCATCTTTGTCACTTTGAAAATAGGTACGCTTCCACACTATATCACCCTCCTCAAATTCTGCCTCTTTCCGACGAAGATCGTATCGTTGTGAGTTCTTTTTGTGAGCCCTCCATAGTGAGATTTGAACTTTATCAAAAAACTTCCGAAGATATCCCAAATTTTCAGCATATATCTCGCGAGGTAGGAATACTATTTCGTTTGGAACATCATTATCGATGTAATGTGATCCACATGTCACTAATTCTCTTCCATGAACCAAAAATGAAGGTGTATAACCAGTGCTCTCATTAATAGAGTTATTTATAGCAAACTGAATTTT